AAGACATACACAGACTGAAAGTGAAGGGATGGAAAAAGACATCCCATGCAAATGGAAATGAAAAGAAAGCTGGAGTAGCAATACTCATACCAGACAAAATATCAGACTTTAAAACAAGGACTGTAATAATAGACAAGGGCATATAATCATAAAAAGGTCAATCTAACAAGAAGATGTAACATTTATAAATATATATGCACCCAATACAGGGGCACCAAGATATATAAAGCAAATATTAACAGACCTGAAGGGAGAAACCAACAGCAATACAATAATAGTAGGGGACTTTCACACCCCCACTTACATCAATGGATAGATCATCCAAACAGAAAATTAATAAGGAAACATCAGCCTTAAATGACACATTAGACTAGAGGGACTTAATAGATATATGCAGAACATTCCATCCAAAAGCAACAGAATAAACATTCTTCTCAACTGCACATGGAACACTCTCCAGGATAGATCACATGTTAAGTCACAAAACAAGTCTCAATAAATTCAAGAGCATTGAAATCACATCAAGTATTTTCTGTGAGAACAATCAATTATAAGAAGAGTGGAAAAACCTCAGAAATGTTTGAGATTAAACAACATGCTGCTGGGGGCACCTAGGTGGCTCAGTCGTTAAGTGTTTGCCTTCGGCTCGGGTCATAATCCCAGGGTCCTGGGATCGAGCCCCACATCGGGCTCCCTGATCTGCGGGAAGCCTGCTTCTCCCTCTCTTGCTCCCCCTGCTTGTGTTCCCTCACTCGCTGTGTCTCTGTCAAATAAATAAATAAAATCTTAAAAAAAAACAAAAACAAAAACATGCTGCTGAACAACCATTGGGTCATCAAGATAATCAAAGAAAATCAATAAAAAATACCTAGAGACAAGTGAAAACAGAAATTACATACCAAAACCTTTGGGATGATGCAGCAAAATTCTTTCTAAGAGGGAATACATAGCAATACAAGCCTACCTCAAGAAACAAGAAAAATCTCAAATAAACAATTTAACTTTACTCCTAAAGGAGCTAGAAAAAGAACAAATGAAGCCTAAAGTCAGTAGAAGGAAGGGAATAGTAAATTTTAGAATGGAAATAAATGAAATAGAGACTAGAAAAAAATTGGGAAAGATCAGTAAAACTGAGAGCTGGTTCTTTGAAAAGGTAAACAAAATTGACAAACCTTTAGCTATACTCACCAAGAAAAGAAAGGGAGAAGATTCTAATAAAATCATAAATCAAAGAGAAGTTACAACTGACACCACAGAAATATGAAGGATCATAAGAGACTATGAACAAATTATACACCAGCATAGAGGACCACCTAGAAGAAACAGACAAATTCCTCAAAACATACAATCTTCCAAGACTGATTCATGAAGCAATAGAAAATCTGAATATACCAATTACTAGTAAGGAAATTGAATCAGTAATCAAAAAATTCTCAACAAACAAAAGTCCAGGACCAGAGCAGCTTCACTGGTGACTTCTATCAAACAAAGATTTAATATCTATCTTTCTCAAACTCTTCTAAAAAGGGGCACCTGGGTGGCTCAATCAGTTAAGCGTCTGCCTTCAGCTCAGGTCATGATCCCAGGGTCCTGGGATCCCAGCTCAGCAGAGCATCTGCTTCTCCCTCTGACCCTCCCCCCTCTCATGCTTTCTCTCACTCTCTCTTTCACTCTCTCAAATAAATAAATAAAATCTTAAAAAAAAAAGACTCTTCTAAAAAATTGAAAAGGAGGGAACACTTCCAAACTCATTTTATCATTATTCTGATACCAAAACCTGATGACACCATAAAAAAAGAAAATTAAAGGCCTGTATCATTAATGAACATTGATGCAAAAATCCTAAACAAAATATTAGCAAACCAAATTCAATGATACATTAAAAGGGATCATCCACCATGATTAAGTGGGATTTATTCCAGGGATACAAGGATAGTTCAATACCTGCAAATCAATCCACGTGATTCACCACTTTGACAAAATGAAGGATAAAAAGTATATGATCATCTCAACAGATGCAGAAAAAGCATTTGACAACATGGATGGACCTTGAAGATATTATGCGAAGTGAAGTCAGTCAGATGGAGAAAGACAAATACCATATGATTTCACTCATGTGGAATCTAAAAACATAAAACAATGAACAAACAAAACTAAAGCAAACTCATAGATATGGAAAACAGATTGGTGTTTACCACAGGGGAACAGGGGTCAGGGGGTGGACAAAATGAGTAGAGGGGGTCAATTATATGGTGATGGATGGTAGCTAGACTTTTAGTTGTGATCACTTTGTACTGCATACAGATGTTGAATTATAGTGTTATATACCTAAAACTTATATATAATCTTATAAACTTATATAAACTTATATAAAATATGTTTTTCCTCAATTAAAAAAAAACCTCAACAAATTATTGTTCTAAATTCCCAGTTGTTCCATTTACCTGAGAATTTACTGCTAAAGCATCAGTACTTTAAAATTCATTCTAAAACTCTTTGATGAAAATTCTTGTAAAATAGATCGGACTTTTTGTATGTCCTTTTCAACCTTGGATGCAGTATACTAAATCTTATTTACCTTTTTCTGTGTGACTCAGGGCCATAAGGATCAACCTTATTTATTGTACAGTGTTGGGATACAGTGATGTTATTATAGGGTGAGGAGCCATTTGCTCCTCTATTAAATAATGTCTTTGTGTCGGCATTCAGGTTTTCTGCCTCCTCTCCTGCTCTCATTTTCTTTAGTCTCAGTGTGCCTGCTGGTAGTAGCTTTTTACTTCCCTCTCTTATGGGGGTCTAATCTACTGATGGAACCCAACCAACCAACTTTCTAGAATCATCTCAAGTGAAATATAAATAGATTCCAAGGGACAATCTATGGAATTCTCCAGTGAGTGTCCAGGAATATTAGTGTGTGGGCTTTGTCACATCCTTGCTGCCTCTTAGAGGCTTGTTTTCCTCATTTTTTGGTTTGGGGCAGGGTTCCAGATGGATGAAGTGTTATAGTGCAAAAGTTCTCTGTGGAACGGAGAGAAAGGCTAAGCTAACTTTACTATTCATATTCTTTCAGTTTTGTGACTCCTTTGCAAAAAAAGTCAGATCTTTCACTTTAATTAAAAAAAAAATCACAATTCTTAACCTAAGCAATATTTTTTTCTGTTGTAAGCTTAAATCATACCTCCAATATAATAAACAGCAAGCCTATGGATGATTCACTTCCTTTCAAAAAGGATTACAGAGAAGACAATGAATGATTAATATGAACAATCTGTCATGCCTCCAAAATAGCTATTATGCAAATAGTAAGGAAGGTTTAGTCAACCTCCATCACTTCTTTCCTCTTCATAATAATACAGATATACAGAAATATTCTTATTTGTATTCTCTCTGTGACTCAACCATGCTCTGTATCATAACACTGTCTAAACCTCAGGCCTCTTAGATGTTAGTCTTTTCTTAAGTTTCAATGAGAGCACTTTTTCACTTTTTGTTATACAACAGTGGATGGTGAGGATTCGTCATGTGTTATCAGGAGTAGCACTAAAACATGGTCTGCAACTTCCAGTGGAGTAGAGTCTCTTTAAAAGTAATACATGGTAGACATTTCACTCAAGTATAATTAAATCTTTATTTGATCATTATTTCAGTTTATAGCCAAATATGAAAATAACTCTTGTTTTTTTAAAAAATAATTTTTAAAAATCTCTAGAACTAGTCTTCTTTAAGTGTTCATGTGTTTAAGAAATCACTTTTTAGAGGTTTATAATTAAAGCACACCCTGTTATCTGTAAAGACAAATTAAATCAGCTGCCTGGCTTAACAACCAAGATCTTCATGTTGCCACACACTGGGCACTAATTTTCTCTTGGCCTTCCCCTGGGAGGATTTTTGCAATTTTTTCCCCCTGACAAGTTTTATTGCACAGTAGGCCAGGATGCTGACTTCTTACAACACAATTTAGAGAGAAAACCTTCAATCTTTTGGCAGTATCTATTGGAAGATTTTTTAAAGGTACAAGGCTGTACCTTTCTGAGATTAAATATATTTTATTAAATATATTATATTAAATATATTTTTCCTAACATATGGAAACAAACTGAGTTTAGACTGGTAATCGAATGAGTGTCAATTTGAGAAGTACATTTTACCTTTCAAATTGGATTAGGCATAGATGTGAATATTTTATATGCTGTACAAACTCTGAATTGCTAAATTAGATGCCAGTGCAATTTGTTATAACTCTCAAAAATACAAGAACTCAAAACATTAACTGAATTGTTTTCTTTTAAACCTAAAAACCAGTCTTGAAACATCTGGATCTCTTGAAATTCATTTCCATTTAAATTTCCAAAGAGTTCAATAACAGTCATGTTTAGGTCGCTGTCATTCTAATCTAGAGGGGTACCTTTAGGTTGATTTATGGTTGCTTGATCAACAGAACAAGATCTTGGCCTCAAGTTTCCATGTAGTTCTCCATTTTTAAATGATTTATAACATTAAGCTTATGAACATAGGCAATTTTTACTACCTCTACTTTCTCCCCTTTGATTTCCCACTGGTTTCTTTATCTCTTAACTATCCTTTCCTGATGAGTAGTTGGATACGGATGTTAATGAAGCAAAAGTCATTGATTCAGTCCTGATAAGGATCACTCAACTTTCTTTTTGCCCCAGGCTGCCTTGCTGCCCTTATTATGACCAACGCACTCCTGTAACTGTACCTTCAGTCACATCAACCAATTTTTATTCAGCCCTAGACAAAGAATACTGTCCATGGTGTTGGCTCTACCTGAAAAACGGTAGACACATTCATTTAATTCCATGTTGCAGTATAAAAGTTGAATTGTAGAGCAGGATTGTCCATTCACAGTGAGCAGCTGGAGCTTTTCCTTTGCGGGGGCTCAAGGCCCTGATTTAAGGCTACAGTAATGAATCCCAAAGTAAGGAATTCTTACTTCATTAATTTCTATCAGGAAATAATCATTGTTTTGGATCTTCTAGGAACCAAAGAGGTTGTTGTAAATGTGGATGATGATGGAGTAATTTCATTGAACTTTGAATGTGATCAGATGGCTCCAAATTCTCAATTCAACTGGTCCAAAGATTATGTATCCACTGAGGACTCTCCACGATTAGAGGTTGAAAGCAAAGGCAACAAGTATGTACTGTTTCAATCTTAATAATGGGTTTCCTTTTCATGATAGGAAAGTGAAGTAAGCTAGTTGCTTTCTATTTCAAATACTTAGTATAAGGGGATGAAATCACAAATATTGTATATCTGGTCATGTAAAAAGTAATAACCAATGTCAGCCTTAAAAAATAACAATCCTTATAAAAATACTTTTCACGTTATTTCAGTTAAAAAGCTTTCTCATATATTATCTCATTTGTGATGTTAGAAAAGCTTTGATTGACATAAAATCAGCTTTAATGATGATTCTTGTTATTTTATGAAATTTTGTAATCTTAAAGTAATGGTGAGGATGCTTATGGGGAGAGAGCAAGGAAGAACTTGCTACTTGCTGGTTCAAGTTATGGTGAATAAAATGGGCTAGGTATAATCTCTTCTGCTTTTTTCACCACCACTTATAAGTGACATAATAACACACTGGAAAGAACTCTGTATGGGAAGCACAGGATAGATGAGTTCTAATCCCAGCTCTACCAGGGGCTGGCTCTGTGACCTGGGGCAGCTTTTAACTTCCATGGGCCTTGGATTTCTTTTTCTGTAAAATGGGAGAAAGCAAAGGAGATTAATTTTGTGATCAGTTACTTCCTTTTACATCCAAGAATCTAAGTTTTCTTTTACTTTGCCTTGCTTAGCATATTTACTACCATATTGGATTGCATTTGGTAAAGCAAAATGCTTTTAAGTATTATTTTTATTACGAAGAAGCCCAAAATATCTCAGAAATAAAGAAATAGTAATTTTGTTGGAGAATGGCAAGGACATACTGAATATAATTAAAAGACATTTTTCTGTCAGTGTGCTATAAAGTCCTTGAAGTAAAACATAAATTTGGTGGGGCACCTGGGTGGCTCAGTCGGTTAAGCATCTGCCTTCGGCTCAGGTCATGATCCCAGGGTCCTGGGACTGAGTCCCACATTGGGCTCCTTGCTCAGCGGGGAGCCTGCTTCTCCCTCTGCCCCTCCCCCTGCTTGTGCTTGTGCTCTGTCTCCATCAAATAAATAAAAATAAAACCTTTAAAAATATATAAATTTGGTCAAAGAAAAGACAATCAAACTGTAAAATTTTCTTCTGATTTGTGCACTTACTAACATTTATATATTTGGCTGACCTTAGACACTGACTAGCAACATCACTCACCAAAGTTAGAAAATGCAGTGAACTAAACCATTGACCCATTCACTTATTCATTCCACAAATATTTATTAAGCACATATTATGCTGGAAGACACAAAAGGACATGAACCAGATCTTGTCCTTAACGGTACAATGACTATATAGTAGAGACGTATGGATAATAAAAGAGGCAATACCAGTGCAGTATGATAAGCTCAAAAAGGAAAGTGCAGGGGATGACATAAAGGAAGCACTTGGAGTTGCCAAAAGAAGGTTCTGCCCTGTGGCGGAAGGTATTTTTTAGGCTCCCCAGCAAAGGCAAATCAGCTAAAAATACTTTTGTTGGGGGTGGGTATTGATATGCAACATAATTTGGGGATGGGATATTTGTACCAACTCCCCACTCCTGTCATCCCACCCCCGATTCCTGGGAGGAGGTCAAGAAAGTCTTCCTAGAAACAGCTTAAATGAGCAGGTTTCAGGTCAGTAAGGGGAGATGGGAACACGTGCTCCCAGTGAAGGAGTTTCCTGTGCAGACACCTAGAGACAACAGTAGACGTGGGCTCATAGACCCTGCACAGCCTCCCTTCTTACAAGAGTATTCTGTTCCACAGAACGAAAATGACCTTCAAGGACCTGGGGATGGAAGACTTGGGCACTTACTCCTGCGGTGTAACAGAGACTGATGGAATAGGGTCAAGCTACTTGATCGATGAGGAAGGTAAATTCAAAATCATTCCATTTATTGGGGCACCTGGTGGCTCAGTCCGTTCAGCGTCTGCCTTGGGCTCAGGTCATGATCTCAGGTCCTGGGATGGAGGCCCACGTAGGGCTCCCTGCTGAGCAGGGAGTCTGCTTCTCCCTCTGCCTCTGCCTGCCGTTCCCCCTGCTTGTGCTCTCTGTCTCTGTCTAATAAATAAATAAAAATCTTTAATAAAAAAATAAAATCCATTCACAAGTCTAACGCTGCTTTGATTCAGCAGTGATCCTCTAGGATCAAGTGACTTTCGTTTTAGTTGTTCAAGTTTAATTGTTCTTTTTTTCTCCCTACAGAGCTGAAACGTTTACTAGCTCTCAGCCAAGAACACAAGTTCCCAAGTAAGTGTCCACAGTACATCCACAGAGTTTAGCAATCCTACTGGGTGGTGACTTGTGGAATAGGTCAGGCAACAACTCTCACAGGATTAAGAGAAGAAGCTCTTAAGAACACATAATGGAACATACACTGGTAGCTACAAATGTGCTTTCCAGAAGGGCTGCTTTTATCTTGGCCATTTTTCTAAAGAGATACAAATACTACACATCCCATGCTGTTACGTAGTGAAGTGTCAGGTTACACAGGTGTAATAGCTGAGTAGTTAAATTCTTCACTTTTTGGCTATGTACTTTGGAATCCTATATATTATATGATACTGGATACATTAATCCACATGTTTTTTAGGCAAACCGATCTCTTCCTAAGCAATTTAATGTTAGCACTTAACAGAAGAATCATACTTCTAAAAAAAGATAATCTAAAGACATTATCTACCATTTTAAACTCCTGGAAAATGAGGTAAAGATGCCCTAGTCAGAAAAAGAATCCCTCTGAACTATCTACAAACTCTTCCATAAAGCACTTTCCACATAAAAGATTAAATTTCGCAGTTGACACCTAAGAGAGAGAAGTCTGAAATGATACTAGGAAAGTTCCACTGACCTGATACGTTCTCTTGCCATTGATATCTATTGGCCACACTAGTGGATTATCCAGGAAGTTATACCCTGGAGTTTGAGACAACAAATGGAGAGTGATAATACACACTCACTCTTTTAAAGCAGGAATTTTATTTTGTTTTGTTTTGTTTTACTCTTTAGTCCCTAAAATACAACTCCTTCACCAATACAGACTTTTCAGGAACTCAGGAAACTATACCATGACTCCACATTATAGACAAAACCCTGTATGTTTCTATATGTACATTTTTCTAGGAGGAGGGTCTGTAGCTCTCCCGAAATTCCCAGTGAAGGCTCTGACTCAAAAATAAACACACACTGCTCTGGAACTAATCGCCTGACTTCTTTTCCATTCCCAAGGAATCTTGTTCCATCCTGAGGCTGAATGTTAGTGACCATTGGCCTCAGTTGTTATGTTCTCAAAACCAACGTTGTTCAACAAAGAGGCACAATGGGGTGCCTGTGGGGTGTGGGTGTAGAATACAGACTTTCTGAATTCTGGGAGAGAACCATTTCTCATCTGTATGCTTATTCACCATAAAACTAGAAAAGTAAGACTATGAGTGGTGTCTTCAAAGTTATATTATTTTTTAATTGCATGGAAGGTAGAAGTTTGGCTTGTATTCTTTGTTCTGTACTTTTGACCCACTCTATGAACCTTAGCAACTCAATTTTTATTTCCCCATGCCTTAGTTTCTTTTCTAGAAATGGCTGTTGTAATCGTTTATAGCACCTACTGTATAGAGATGCTGTGAGAGATCCTTGAACTTTTAAGGAAAAATATAAATATTGATGGAAACAACAGTGATCCTCAAAAAATCCACTTGTAGAAGATCTGTCTGCGAGCTATACAGGATGCTCTACCTTCACGTCCCAGGGCTGTGAAGTAAGGAGTGTAGGAGAGGGTCACTATGTTGAACACAGCCAGACCCCATTAGTGATCAGACTGCCTCCTCCCAAACATTGGTGGAAATGGAGAGAAACCGCAGCATCCACTAATCTAGTCAGACAGTAAACATTGGCAAAGTGTCTAGGCAACAGCTGGTCCAAACAACATTTACATTTAGCTTAAAAGATGGAGATGAGACAACATGGGGTGTTACTGTTGAATTGGAGGTGCCCAAGCCTCCCTGATGTTCAGTGATCATATGGACTTGGAGACAGTAGTTGTCTGATGTCAATGTCATGTATACTGAGAGATTTATTTTGCATAAGCATGATCACTCTAATTACTGGTTCTAGGAGAGAGAGTAGCAGCAAACTCAGGTTCCCTTTTTATTAGAGACCTGGTGTGGCATTTGAGTAGGCAGAGAGAGAGAGAACTCAACAATGTGTTAAAAATTCTGACATGCAAATGTCAGATCTCCTAACCCAAGGGAGATTTGCTTAGCCCATTGAAGTGGCATTTTCAAGAATACAGCTCCCACACTTTTCTTCCCCCGACTGCTAGTAGATCAGCCTGGTGGCTACCTGAATATTTTCAGAGATCTGATGAAGAGTCAAAGCAGCATATCTAATTTCTCAATTTATACCCACTTCCTGGCGGTAAATGTTGAACATCATTAAGTCTTTTTGTGAGATTTTGTAAGTTTTTAAATGGGTCTTGTTTCTTACAGAATGTAATAAAGAGCATGGTGCTCCTTTATCCCTTGGCACAGTAAATTCTATTTTAAGCTGTTTTCAAAAATATTTTGAAAAACACTAAACATATGCCTTAAACCTACAAAAAATAGATATTTTGCTGGAGCAAATTAACTGCCAGAGAAAAGAGTGTAAGGAAATTTAGGACTGAGAAGAAGTAAAAATGTATAAAGCTAAAAACAGAAAATAGCCTAGTTGGTCTTGCCACTATTGATATTAAGCGGCAGTGTAGAGAGACAGCTTACTTAAAGATTTCAAGGTATTGTGAGGTAGGTGATGGAAGGTATATTTCAGTATTGTCAACATCCTGCATAATATCTCTTGGATATTACCCCACTTGTACCCATATACCCTATGTGTACAGATATATGCAAGCACATATACATAAATTGTATCTATTTCGTATGTCCTCTTAGGTGTCAACATATTATATTTTATAATTGGTAGTTGTAGGGTGTTGTTGAAGCAACTGGTGGAGGAAAGAGATACCAAAATATTAATAGCCAAATTTATAGAGCACTTGTTATATGCCAGAGTATTTATAGGGTGCTGAAAGGGAGTGTATCATTTAAACTCCACAGTGACCATAAAAAGCTCGGTTCTAAGGTGATTTAATTTTAGAGGTGTATGAGGCCCAAAGAGGTTGGGTAACGAGACCAGATGTACACAGTGGATACCCATGGTTAAGCCCAAGTGGTCTGACCCTAACCAGGACATGACCGTTAATGTGTATACACCTGCTGTTTGCCACCACACCCTCTCTGGTGATTCCTGGTAGCCAGTGTTTCCTCGTGTGATGTTCCTATTACTCAGAGAGGGCAGTGAACACTAAGGGAGCTTGAAACTTCCAGGAGGACATGGCCTTTCTCCTCCATCACCACTATGGTCCCCTTAGGTAACTGCAACACTCATGTATTAAATTTCCCAGAACGAGGTCTTCAGACTTTCTCAGGAAAGATTCTACTCTCCATTCTCCTCAAGAGTTACTTGTAGCAAGTAGGAGTGTCCTGTAGGGAGAAAGCTTAGCCTCTGCTCTCACAACTCTGGAGTCTGTCCTTGTTGCTTTACTTAGACATGCTCACACTGGCCAATCACTACTGTTCTTCAGAATGGACAGCCAGAACCAAGAGGAGCACAGAATAGAGGGAATAACCCTGGTCTCAGCTCTGCTGCCCAGATATGTTACTAGTCTTTCCTGGGGCTCAGTTTTGTCATCAGTAAAATGAGGAGAGAAAAGAACTCACCTTTCCTGAGCACTGGTCATTATTCACAGTGTCTTAGTGTCTTCTGGTACTGTATTCATTGTTCTTGGTGGTCTTATGAGGCAGATCATATCCATGTTAGCAAGTGAGGAACATGAGGTTTCCGAGAGGAGAGAACTGTCCAAGGTCACGGTGTGACATCAGAGCCCATCTTCAGTGCATCACAGACACTCTGCAGTAGATGACATCTGAGCCTCTGTTTAGTTCCTCATGGGAACAAGTTTATAACTGAGTTTCACAATGACTATGGAACAGCAAATGAAAGGCATCCCTTAAAGTTTGGAAAGGATAGTTTTAGGATAAGTACAAAGAAATTTTGATGTATATTTGATACAAGTTTGGGAAGCTTACAATTTAAAATGTAGCATCTGTTGAAATTTTGAGATTAGTTTAAGAACCATTTAGAGACAGCAAAGGGTGATGATTTCTCCTAAAGGAAATGAAGGACTACTAAACTTTGAGAGACAGCCATGGTTTTCAGCAGAGTTTGCCCTGGAGCTACCGCTGATACAAAACCATTGGAGGAGACTTTATAGAGAACATTTTCAAGTTACAAGAAATTTAGAAAACTGTTTTTGAGGGATATCAGCCAACTTTTAAAATTTCACCCAGACTCAAATGGCTTAAGCAATACAGGTATATATCAGAGATACCATATGGTTCCTTTACTTTCTTTGTGAGGCAAGCCATGCTATATCTTAATATGCCTTCTTATTAGTGACTCACATATTTGCCTCTGAAAAATGTTTCCTTGTCTAAGAATGTAAATGAATTGGCAAACCAGTGGGATGGATAGAGTTTAAATGATAAGCTAGTTCATCTTGTATATATCAACATTAATTCTGTTTTAAAATTCATTTTTAAAAACATTTGAAAGAACCTCCAAAGTGAGTTTAATTGTTGAGAAAAATAAAATTTAACTCCTTTCCCAGTATTTTGAAGTAATTAAGATTATAGAATATTGGAGCTGGAAAATCTCTTAACCATTTAGGACATTCAGTACAGTCCTATTCATTTATAAATGAGTCAACTGAGGCCCAGAAATGTGAAGTGACCTGCCTAATATTACACAGTTGCTGATGTTGGACTAGGCTCCAGCTCTCCTGGGGCCAGCCCAAGACTATTTCATCACACTTTGTTATTGTCCCTAAAGCCACAGTAGAGAGTCACCCAGGTTAGGTGAAGGAACCCTGGAGGTAAGTTTATCTTCCTCATTTTTACAGTTGAGATATCTATGACTCAGGGAAGGTGAATGACTTGCCCAAAGTGGCAGCAGGATTAGAACCCAGGTCTTCCATCCTTGAGTATCATTCTTTCCCTACAATGTTCTTACTGCCTCCAGGCTTTGCAAGAAGCAAGGTGCTGTATTGTCATTTCCATTGAGTGTTTTTTCACTGAAAAATCGGTATTAATATAATTGGTTACCAATAAAATTACTGTTTTTGTTTTTATTTTGCATAGCTGTCCCAATTAAGTCAGAGTTGGCAGTTGAAATTTTGGAGAAAGGCCAGGTCCGGTTTTGGATGCAGGCTGAGAAGCTGTCTGGCAACACCAAAGTCACCTACATATTTAATGACAAGGAGATTTTTGAAGGACCGGTATGTTTTACCCTTTTTTTTTTTTTTTAAAGTTTTTATTTATTTATTTGAGAGAGAGAGAATGAGAGAGAGCACATGAGAGGGGGGAGGGTCAGAGGGAGAAGCAGACTCCCTGCCGAGCAGGGAGCCCCATGCGGGACTCGATCCAGGGACTCCAGGATCATGACCTGAGCCGAAGGCAGTCACTTAACCAACTGAGCCACCCAGGCGCCCTGTTTTACACTTTTTAGATTCTAAACATATCACTGTACAATGTGCTGAGGGAGCCCTATTAAAATGCAGCTAAGTTGTTATGAAAACCACTGGGTGCAGGGTGGGAAAGTAAAAAAAAAAAAAATAGGGAGAGGAAAATATAGATTGATTATATCATATTATCCAAACTGGGACACTGTTGAGAATGAAAGAGGGTTCTAGTAATAATTTTTCCAGGACAAGAATCAAACCAAAACTGTCCCAGGCAAATCAAGAAGTATGGTTACCCAGGAAAATAGAGCTGCTCTCCTGAGAAGCAGAGGAGTCAACGTGCTTACCTGAACTTACATACTCACATCAGAAACCTCAGCAGGAGCTTGGTTCTTCACAGGGAGGAAATGGCCTCCATTGTTCCAATGGCTCAGAAAAAAATGCAGCAAAAATATCTTTCCTTACTTTTCTGCTGAAAAATGCAGTACATTTTTATTGTAAAAAAAATTGTAAAGACTCAAAAGGGACAAATCACAAATTCTCACAACTTTTTAATATACACATTGGTTTATACTTTTTTGGTCTTTTTCTACACTTCTCTGTGTGTGTGTGTGTGTGTGTGTGTGTGTGTCTATGGATGTCTTCTTTAATTTACGTAGGTGTTTGTATGTATCTACTCTTTTCTTTGCTTTTAACATAAACATAGTTTCCATGGATAGAGTTACAACACCTGCACTGTATTTGTCCTCCCAGAATCAAGCCAGTGCCCAGTGGTACTGAAGAACTTGGGTTTAGGAGCTCTGGCTCTTACCGGGCTATCACAGGTATAAATGAGAGTCTCAAAAGATGGGAAAGAGGTGTGATATGTGGCCTGTTCTCCTTTCATCAAGATATGTTTCTAAAACATTTCAGGATTCATTAGTGAGTGGGAGAATGAATAACATAAATAGCAAAAAAAAAAAAAAAAAGTAATATATTTCTTTTCAGCTCATTTAGCAACTGTGTATAGAACCTGAGTAAGTCACACAGGGTCCACAGTGGCCCATCTTCTCTGTTTTCAAGATATTCTCCTTGATCGCCGTGCTCATCACCTGGCCAGTAGAGGGGAAGGAAAAGCATTGTTGGCATCACTGTCTGCTGCCACAGCCATTTAGGGACCACTCGTGCACACACATTCATAGATGCACTCCCCTTCATGTGTTCACACATGGTTTCATGCTGTTGTACACATGCGCACATACACATACATACTCTGAACTTGAAGAACTGTTCATTGTCATTGCAGTTAGTTCTTACACTATTTCGTTGGGTGGAAATTAGTGTCTTAGGCTAAGTTCCCTAGAAGGACAGTCTGAAATAGAATTTCTCTTTCAATTGATTTATAGGGGAGTACTCTCAGGAGTGGGGATTAGGGAAACAAGCTAAGGTAGAGGAAAGCAAAGCAAAAATGTGGTCTTGGTTGGAGACTGGCTTCCTGCAGGGGACACTCTGAGGCATGAACTGCCGCACACAGTTGATCCCAGACCTGAGCCTTCGTTCTGTGACATTTTATAGGAAAACTTCATTAATTCAAATCCACTATAAAACCTGCACTTGTATGCCCAAGGGCTAAGATTTATCTTTACACTGAAAAAAAAGTTGCCTAAGCCATATGATAAAATAATTACAGAAGAGTAGGGCAAGTTTAGTTTATTAGGAACAAATGAACTTCAAATGCTTTGGAAGCATTTTTATTCACATATTAATTCTGCAGATATTTACTAATTGCCTGCTATAGGCCATGCATGCACAAGACGTGAGGGATATAGCAACGGACGAGACAAAAACACGCCCCTCACGCTGCCTATTGTGTGCCATTATTCTACTAATTAAAACGAATGTAATCTGGAAGGTAAAATGGGAATCTAAAAACACCTTTTTTTTTTCAAAGATCTTATTTATTTATTTGACAGAGAGAGAGACAGCCAGAGAGGGAACACCAGCAGGGGGTGTGGGAGAGGGAGAAGCAGGCTTCCCGCTGAGCAGGGAGCCTGATGTGGGACTTGATCCTAGGACCCTGGGACCATGACCCGAGCCGAAGGCAGACGCTTAACGACTGAGCCACCCAGGCGCCCTATATTTTTAAGATTATTTATTTATTTATTTGACAGAGAGAGAGACACAGCGAGAGAGGGAACACAAGCAGGGGGACTGGGAGAGGGAGAAGCAGGCTTCCCGCAGAGCAAGGAGCCCCATGCGGGGCTGGATCCCAGGACCCTGGGATCATGACCTGAGCCGAAGGCAGATGCTTAATGACTGAGCCACCCAGATGCCCCTAAAAACACCTGTTTGACAACACTTGTGACTTAGGATAACAAAACTTTATTTGTATTTAAAAAAATTAAATTTCAGACTTTATAGTAATCAGTTCTGGTCAAGGTCATATATGCCAGGTCCTATTTTTCTTTTTCCGGGGAACAAGATTTTGAAAGCTCATCTAAAAAAAAAAATTTAACAAGAAATTTTGTTAAAATTATGATTCTTTGGAGTTTGTGTTTATTCCATCAGGCATTGGCATCCTATCTTCCTCACTGATTTCTGTTTTCCTTTCCACATTGAAGAAATATAAGATGCATATTGACCGAAACACTGGCATAATTGAAATGTTCATGGAAAAGCTACAGGATGAGGATGAGGGAACATATACTTTTCAGCTTCAAGATGGAAAAGCAACTGGCCATTCTACTCTTGTTCTCATTGGAGATGGTAAGAAGTCTGTGGCACATTAACTGAAAGACTTCACTGCTCCCTTCAGTATAAATACCCTGTGGCACGAAAGTGGTCACGTGGAAGGCAGCAGGAATTGTTTCTGGTATTTTAAACATTGGAATCCAATTTCAGTTAATACTTTCCATAGTATTTCACCAGATTTATCCTTAGCCCACAGGGAAGACTGCAGTTAAATGATCTCCTATCTAAACAAGTATTTATTACTAAAATTCTCCAGTGAAGGAGATTGTAATACAACTAAGACTTTCAGGAACAATGGTACTACCTTATACTGTGTACTTCCTTTAAACTACTTAAATTAAGAAGAAAAATATGCAAAAGTGGTGCATGCCAGATCAATTAATCATGCTTTATAACTGGATTATATGTCAGCTGCCATAAGCCACTGTAGATATAAAATGTGGCATTTAACAAATGTGGCATTTGGAAAAGCTGGCCAGATCTCTACATTTGCGACATCTGATACTACTTGACTATTTCCTAGCTTCATGACCTTGAACAATTTACTTAACCTTCCTAGCCTATGTCTTCATCATAAAAACTTAAATAGGTTGTTGTGATGTATGAGTATGTTATAATAATGAATATAAATCAGCACAGTGGCTGGCATATACAGTTATACCACTCAGCTCAATTTCATCCTTCCTTATTTTTCTATTTTAGTTTATAAAAAGCTCCAGAAAGAAGCCGAATTCCAGCGGCAAGAATGGATCAGGAAACAAGGTAAAAATGGGCAGTGAGTAAAGAGAAAAACTTTAATTTCTTGAAAAAAAAAATTCCAAGATTAATTCCATAACAAATTTAAATGTATATTATTGCTTAGGCTAATAATGCCCTGGTAAATAAAAAATAATTGAAAATATTTATTATTAAATATGTATCCATTTAAAATATTTGAAAACTAATCTTGAATTTTAAAATATCACTTCATATATATATCACTTTAGAATTTAAGAATGAGCTTTGATTTTGCATTTGTGATTAAGAGAGTGATTACTGATGTCATTGAAATTTTATAGGTCCTCATTTTGCTGAGTATTTGAGCTGGGAAGTGACGGGTGAATGTAATGTACTATTGAAATGCAAGGTAAGGGGGACCCTGAGGAGCTGTTTGTTGAGCATCCAACTCGGTTTTGGCTCAGGTCATGCTCTCGTGGGTCAAGGGATTGAGCCCCACGTCCAGCCCAGTGTCAGGCTCCCCACTCAGTGGGGAGTTTGCTTGAGATTCCCTTCCTCTGCCCCTTCCTCTGCATGGATGCATGCTCTCTCTCTCCCCTTTCTCTCTAAAATAAATAAGCAAATCTTAAAAAAAAAAGAAGAAATGCAAGGTAAGGAGTAAATTTTAAATATTTGATATAAGGGAAATAAAAATAAAGTAGAATGTGAGAAAAGAAAGATCGATTTTTCATCTCCATTTGAACCAAAATGCTAAGTGACACATTCTTGCTATTGACTAGCACTGTAATCATTGGGTGGTAAGAAACATAAAATAAAATAAAACATAAAATAAGATAAAATAAAACAACATAAAAATATGGGAAGACAAGATGATTGCTCCTATTCATTACACCCTAGTTGATAAGGACTGGCTCTTCTCTTTTTTTAAATTAAGACTTTATGTTTTTTAGGAGCAGTTTTAGGTTCATAGCTATATTGCAAGGAAGGTAAGGGATTTCCCATGTAGCCCCTGTCCCCCTACTTGTACAACCAGCATCTATATCAACATCCCCCACCAGAGTCTCACATTTGTTCCATTTGATGGAACAAATTGACATATCATAGTTGCCCAAAGTCCACAGTTTACATTAGGGTTCACTTTTGGCATTATATATTCTGTGGGTTTAGACAAATATATAATGACATTTATCCGCCATTATAGTATCATACGGAGTTTTCTCACTGCCCTAAAAAGCCTCTGTGCTCTGCCTATTCATTCTTCTTCTCCCTCCTCCCCATTTTTTTTTTTTTAATTAATCTCAGAAGAATCTCACAATGTCTTTGTTTCAGGCCAAATCTTCATTCTAACTAGTAGATCTGTTTCACAATCATTCCAGATACACTGTCTTTCTGTGGAAGTGTAGCAATTTCCTGTCTAACTTGTGTGACTAAGGCAACAATCCCTTTGAGAACTGGCTAGCTCAGCTGCGGGTTCTGAAACCAGTGTGCTGCCACGAAGCGAGAGGCTTGTTAAAGAGTTTGCCGCTCATACCCAATTGTCTCATTAGGCCTTGGGAAAAACATAGAAATAAAAGTCCATATCACATTCTAAATCATTTTATACCTTAGCTCATGGTGTGTTCAGCTGATTGAGTCATCAAAATGTTTTGGATGGGGAACTGCTGGATGAGGCTGGAGTGTGAAGGTCATGACAGCAGACAGTGACTCCAAAGTAGAAGCATGTATTTGGCATTTGACATTGTAAAAGCCAGAACCCAAGTGCCCCAGTCTCTTTTAGGTCTGATGACATTTAAAGAAAGAGCAGTCTACCTGAAATGTGTCCGAGAGATAAATTCTAGGCTTTAGCCTCTCAGTAAATGGCAAAACTTCCTGAAAAACAATTTCTCAGCAGCCAAAACCCTCTCTCTCCTCCTGGCTGTCCACTGCCATGTTGCCCCTGACTCACTTTCTCCTCCACCCTGCCCACCCCATAAACCACGCTTTCCCCAAGGCCCACATATCTACCCTCCTTCTTTCTGTACTACCTGTTGCACTAGCCTTCTGGGAGGTGAGCCCTGGTGTCCTGTTCTGATGTCAGCCCCTTGCCCAGATTCTGAATCTAGAAATAGATTCTGAATATTCATACTTTATGTATTTATGTTGTTCCAGTGCCTGGAGTGACCTTCTTCTTTCAGCTTCTCTGACAAAATCCTTTCTCTAGGTCCAGCTTAGTCATCTTTTCTATAAGGCCGCCTCCTTCTCTGTCCAGGTAGAATGAACCTTCCTCTGTCTTCCCATAGCTCTTTGTTTCATGATTATAGCAATTTAGGTACATTTGGCGATTTATAGATTCACTATAGTTAATGGAGTATGTGTAGCTAAACATTCAGATTCATGAAACTATCATGGGCCCCAATTGGAACTAGTCAACAGAATATAGGACAAGAACCCCAGCTTGCCTGCAAGGCAGTGCTGAGCACTCCTCTCCAGCAGGAGTCCACTTCACCACCCCCTGATGACACTAAGGTGCAAGGGGACAAGCCCAGTTTGGTCAGTGCAGGAAATGCAATGGCTTTAAAAAAAACTTCATGACCTAAGGATCCAATACCTCTTGTAACAACTCCCTAGGCAGAGCTTCCAGGGGTCCCCCATAAGGGGCATGCCCAAATTACAAGCGTCAGCATACTTAGGGAAACCTAAAGCTATGGAGTCCATTTCTAGTCCCTCCCAGTCCAGATGCATTTTCCCAGTCAGGGGTCATTTTTATCAGAAGCAGTGTCACCTAGTAACACAGTTAATTTCTATAATTCAGGGACCAGTTGACAGGATCATAAAGAATGTTCGTTTGTGCTGGTTTCATTGTAGAGTTACCAGTGTTTGTTCTTTTTTTTTTTTTTTTTTAAGATTTTATTTATTTATTTGACAGAGA